TGCCACTTCCTGCAGGTGGTGAAGGACAACAGGGATTATTATGCCAACCTCCATGCTGCTTTCTACCGGGAGGAAGATGCCTGTAGGAGGCTCCTGGAAAACAAAGATGCCGTAGATTGGGACAAAGCCTTCCAGCTGCAAGGCAAGGCCTGGGCTCTGGCAATTTCTTCTCCATCCTTAGGAGATTGTGAAAAGTGCTAAAAACCTGGTTGTTCCCCCAACTGTAACCAAAGACAAGAAATTCAGTGCTTTTTTTGTAAAAAAAAAAAAAAAAAAAAAAGGTGCCGGAACTCACACACGTCATACAACCCGCCTTCCATACAAAAAAGGTGCCGGAACTCTGTTCTGGGCGTTCTATGACAAAAAAAGCCCTGGAGAAATTTATAACCTTGTGCCACACCCCATTCCAGCCACCACCAACTTTTCTTTGTGTCTGGGGAAATGTCTCTGTGCCACCCAGTTGCAGGGAATTAGTAGCAGAGAGAAGATAATATTACACTCTGAACCTCAGGCTGTTTTCCTGTGATATTTCTATTCTATGCAGGTCTTCAGGATGGTCTCTATCATGCTGTGAAAGTCATGGCAGAGGCTAGACGTGTCCACATGGAGCCCTATTTCTATCAGGTAGCACTGCACCCAGATGCCGCCACGTTTTGTCAGAACCAGTGAGTGATCGTGATCTCTTTCTGAGGGAACTGTTTTGGAAATCTGTTAAATGGATTCGATTCCATTCAATTACTTGGAATTCAATAATGAAACCAAGGACTTCTGGCAGCTTTAAATTATAACTAATCATACCCTCTGTAGAAAACTAGGAGTATGTTTTATTTTATTTGTTTGTTTGTTTTCAATTTCTATGACAGCCCATCTCAGTCAATGACTCTGAGTGGCTTACGGTTTACAAAATATATTACAATTAAAAATGTAAAAACATTTTAAAACAGTAAAAAGAGTAAAAACAGTTGCAAACATTAAAAAACATCCAAGTCAAGACACACAAGAGCAAGATGTTGTTTCTCCTATATGTAAAAGAGAGACAGATTTACATATACAGCCCCAGTGGTTATAGTGCGGAATTTATCATTCTTTGCCAAATTGGAAGATGTGGAAAGGACAATATTATTAGACTTGGAAGAATTCACTGAATACAACTGCTCCATTGGTTTCCCCAAAAGCATAAATTATGATTTAAACAAAAAAAAGGATCCCCAATATAGATGGCTGCACTTTCAGGAAACTGTTACGGGTATTTTTACAGAATAACTGAGATTCTCTTGAAATATCCAATTAGACTTTTAGTCTTCCTGGGGATGAGCAAAGATTTTTTCCACTATGGTGGGATGTTCTCCTTTTGCTCCACCTTCACTACTGCCTTCTCTTTCCTTTCAGGCTCAGAAGTGAGCCCCTTCACCTGGGGACCCTCAGCCCGTCTCATGCAGCCCTGCTCAATGACACCTGGGCTTTTGCAAGCAACGATCGGAGCCTGCGCTATCTCAGAAGCCTGACCGAGAACTTCCCAAATGCTTGTCTTTTAGACGAGGAAAGCCAGCCGGTTGCCTGGTGCCTAAGTGATGCCGTTGGGAGTATGGCACATGCCTATACCCTTCCCAAATATCGGAAAAAGGGTCATATGAAAACAGTATTTCAGGCACTAGCCAGAAAGTTGCATGCTAAGGACTTTGTCTCATATGGGGGAGTTCTGCCAGAGAACAAGGCCTCCAAGAAATTTTTATTTAGTCAGGGCTTTGAGCTCTTGCCTTTGATAAGACATGTTCTTTTATTCACTCCAAATCACATGAAATAGCCTAGTGCATTTTTCCTCCTTGAATCAGTGGCACCACTACTGGCTTCATTAGACTAAGAGGTTGGGAGTAAATTTGAACCTTAGATTTAAGGGACTGCCTCTTTGGATATTGTAATGTATTGAGTTAATTCTGAGAATTGAGATGTTGAGAACTGTGAAAAACAGTTAGTAGGCCACGTGGCCAACAAGCCAGACTTTCTGTCTGCAGACTACTTATTATGCATTTAAGCGGGAGAATACTGTGTTTCTATTGGCTGCCGCCTTTAGGCTGAGTGTATAAATAGGGGTGGAGTATTGGTTGTTAGTTTCTGTTTTGACCTTCAATAAAGAGAGTTGCTTTCCACTTACTGCCTCTTCAATGCTGCGTCGAATAGCAAACATAACAGATATTTTCAAGATTAAATCTGAAAAGAATCACAAGAACCAAGAACGGCTCTCAGTGAATGTGCACTCTAAAACAGAACTCTTGGAAACAGTGATGGCGAACCTTTTGAGCTCAGTATGTCAAACATTTGGAAAGTGCCTAACTTGATTCTGCTGGTGTGTCACCTCCCCACCAACAAAAGAGGAACAATTCTGTATTCCCTTCTCCATCTAGGCCACCCTGAACGGCAGCACTCAATGGCAGCCAATGCTGGCTGGAAGTAGAGGCCTGAACCTCACCCTCAACCCTAGTGTTAGATCGCGCAGGCAGTAAGACACGAGTCGAGTGACAGTCAGCTCTCGGTTTATTGGCAAGGCATAAAGTAAATCCGGACTGGCATCTGGGCCAGGGGAGCCCTCTCTTATGGGATTCCCCTGGCTCGTAATCACACAATTCCATTGGCTGGTAAGACCCCGTTGCTAGTTAGCCAACCAGCAACGGGCATGAAACTGTATGCAGATGGAGAAGGGCAATAACCCTTAATGGGTGATCAGGATGCGCATAGGGGATTAGGGGGGGAATACAAAAGAACACAACACCTCTCCCCTCAAAGTTCTTGCTATCGTCCTTGATGAATAGTGGTTACATAGTCCTTCAGATATGTGGGAGGCCGATGCCCTCGCGTTGATCGGCGGGGAACTGTGTGACTCGGTTCAGCTCTTGCCTCGGTACTCTTCCCTCTGCGTGGTTGTCCTTGGGCCGCTGCAATGGGTCTCGCTTCTCGAGGTGGTTGACTGACG